TTCACTCCGATTAAAAAAAGTAATAGAATTTAAGCGGACGCACCTCCGATCTTTTCACTTCCTGACTCACCTCAATCGATAGGTGATAATTGTATTTTTAGCCTGTAAATTCCTGGAATCAAATTGCTATGGTCAGGGCTAAATGGAATGTCTGATTAGCTTCGAATCTAATACGCAGTTGCGGAAGCCCTCAAAGAGAACTTGTACTTCAACAAGTACATCCGAAAATGGCATTGAAAAGGGGTTTCCCGCTTCTCAATTTCACTACGTAGTTAAAGCACATCGTTAAATGGATCAAGTGAATTATTGCCACAAAGTAAGGTAAATATTAGTACTTGGCTATCATAAAAGTCCCCATATTAAACTCCGTTTTGATAAGCGCATTGGTGATCACTGCTGGTTGACCAAAAACACCTCCTTAAACTGGGTGAGCAATCAGGTATTTATGGGCTATCGAATGTGCCGAGTAAGCTTGACAAACGCATTTGCGCATATCTGGATATGCGATAACTTGGCCTTGACCTAGCACCACAAAATCCAATCTGGAGTCTAGGGCTTGACCACGGCAACAGAGAGAGCCTTTCCTCCATAAACAAACAACAGCTAATGGCAAAGGTATTTACGATTCGCCAACGATAAACCAAAAAGGAGGCCAATAAAAGTGGCCAGGTTTTGTTTGCGTAACGGGCCCCCTTAATGTTAATAAAGTCGCATTTCTAATCGATAGGTGATAGTCAGACGAAGGTATTTATTTTGGCCCAATTGCGACTTAATGACCGCCCAAGAGGATGTGGAAAGTGATGTCACCAGTTCCAGCTGATAAAACCAATTAGCCATTCAATTAGCCGTTGGCGCCCCTCAATGGAAAAGTTACCAGATCCTTCTCCGAATCTTGTTGCCAATAGGAATGCTCTTGCTTTATATAGCTTTCAATGGAAAAATTACTACATTCCTCTTCAGAAAACCGATTACCCAAGGTCTTTCAGGTGACGGAATCGAATCAAACTGGGCGACCACTTGAGCACAAAGAAAGTAGAGTACATGACGCCATTTGGCGATTGCCTTTGAAAGATCCATAAACCATGGGATTTTCAATTTTTGGTGCAGCTACTTATTATGGGCTCCATATATCACGTGACTTTCTCGAGTGCCACTCGTTTGGAATGTTCTGATCAGTCCAGCCATAAACCCAATTAGTGATATAAAGACTGCAATAAAATTTAGCCATGACATTCATAAAACGAGTTGTCAAAACGGTGAACAAAAAGGTAATATGAGTATATTTAGATGGTGTGGTCAATTATATTTTAGGGTTTCAAAACAGCTCATCATCTGATTTGGTAAATGCAAAAAGGACGTAATAGATTACACCATTTATTTTTAGCTTTCAAATAAGCCCGCGCTTATAACCTTAAATTCTCAAAATAGTTGACTGAAAAACTCGTGATAAACGCTTTTCTGGAATTGAACGGGAAACGAAACGAGCCGAACTTTTATCTTATTTGGGGTTTATTTTGTTTTGGAGAACTCCTAAGACCCGGCTGTAATACCCAGTTGACAACCTCGAGTCCGCCGGCATGCCTTGAGATCGTGCCGGTTTTCCCTCTCACCCGATATAGATATATATAGACATATACCTAGTACAGCTCCCTGCAGTCCGATATGTAAACCTGCGCGGAGGCTTACAGGTTGTTTACGCCCGGCGAATGGGGCTTAAATGGGACCTCGGACGATTGCTGGCTCTTAATGCCTCCGGTACTCGGTAAATGCCACAAAAGGCGCCGCCTTTGACCAATTGCACCATACGGCTGCGATTGCCGGGGCTTTGTAGTAGGTCACGGTTCTCTAGTGGCTACCAACTTCTGGTTATCGCCGCCGATAATTGGTTGTGCCAAGTGCGAAATACTTTTTATTCGGTTTTGGAAACGCATGTTCTTCTCGCGGCGATAACCGAATCGAAGTGTAAACATCCGCAGTCGCCGCTCGATCACTGATCACAGATCACTCGCACCGGATAGTGGTTATTTCCCTCCAACATTCCCACTGCCAAATAGCTCCTGCGATAAGCCATGGCCAAAAATAAACAACAAAGTGGCTAAATATATGGCTGCTTAAAGGAAATGCCTAAAGGTTTCAGGCCTTTTGACTGATTAGCTTTTCCACATACCTGAAAAATGATTTCATTACCCTACTTTCCTTTTCCGCGAATGTCCTTATCGTGTAAAGTTTATCGAGGAATGTTGATAGCAGCAGGAAATATATTCGATTTATCGGGAATTCCAGATGCGTAAGACGGATGTGACTTGACAGTGATCGAGGTGTAAATTGGGGAGTTTTATGTTAAAGTTAAGCTAAAGTTCTCGAGAAGAATATGATTCACTAATCATAAATAGATACTTAATGTGATAATTACCCTGCTATTAAATTATTTATACACTTGGTTTTTTATTATTATTTCTTTTTTTGAGGTAAAGTCGTATTTAATTGGCAATTTCCTTTTGATTGATAAGCTCCAGATAACGTTTTATTTTTGTGATTGTTAAAGTTCTTATTTCCTTCCTCGGGAAAGAGAGCCTGCAATCGTTTCCCTAACTTAATTGCCTATCAAATCGCCAATTTCCTTCCGTTTCGCTTGTCTTTTTTTAGCTAATAGCTGTTTTTCTTCCGCTCGATTTCCTTTGGTTTAAAGCGGCCTCAAGTCACTAATGAGGCAGAAATCTCTATGCAGAATGTCACAATGGGAAGGGAGGGGAAAAACGCAGAATCACGAGACGAATGTTGTTCCAGAATTTCGCCGGCGGCCAGAAAAAGGTGAAAGGTGAAACGGAGGGGTGATTTGGTAGCAGACTTCGGCAGGACATTTGTGGCCTTTCTCTCGCCCATTCTGTTGCGTCATGTTAAATAAAAGCCCGTCGACGGAGGACAGGACATTGGACATGGACTTGGCTTCCGGTTGACGGCAACAAAGGATCGCCCTGCAGCGGTTGCGGTTTTTCAATTGAAATCGGCCAGGACGAGAAAGGACGAGGCAGGACAGGAACTCAACCCTGACCGCAACGTGCTTGGAAATGAATACACACGGCCAAAGAAAGCAGACCCAGAATGTGGGGAGTTGCCCCGGGGCCAGTTGCAATCCACCAATCCTCAAAATGCGGCTATACGAGGAGTATAGCTGTTCCGCTGGAAATGTTCCGGCAATCCGGCTGCGAGGAAGTCTCGTGGCCTTCCTGTCAACCCGAGTGACACCAATATTTAGAAGAAGTCAACGAACAACTGGCCGCTGAGTTTATTACAGTCCAGCCACAATAAGTGGAATGTAACATATAACATGTATGCATTAAATATAAGCAATAAGCACTTTGAAGGTATTAAAAGAATACAATGACTATTCTTTGGCTAATATAAAATCGAAAGAGTGATTATTATTTAAACATTTTAAGAACTAGGTCTTATTAGGAATCTAGCAGATGCCCTTCCTTGCTATGGAGGCTCTACTGTATTTATGACGATCCGCGTTCGCATTCCGAGCACACCCAAGAGGGGCCAAAGTTTGGACTGTCCTAAATTAACATCTGTGTGCTAATTGAGTGGCCAAATAGTTGACTCGACTCATTAGCTCTGGGCTCCGAGTTCGACTTGGGGTTTTGGGTAGACTGGGTAGACTGGGCAGACTCGGTTCGGTTCTGCCAAGGGCTCCCGACTGGCATGGATCCGAGTTTTAATTGCCGCACCTGCATCGCGTGTCCATAAACAGAAACAAAAGGCCGCAAGAGCAAATAAGTGTCAGCCCATTGTCAGATGTATGTCAATGATATATGTCGTGTACGTTAATATCTGGCGGTAATTGGGCAGCCTTGAACGCATTTATCCTGAAATTCAAACTGCTGCTGATTCGGATAAGGAATGTAGGGCACGCCATGCAGTCAGTTTACTCCTGTTAAAATTTCATTCAGCGGAGGTCCTTGAATATCTATAACTAATTCTAAATTGAAAACAAACAACAAATTAGAAGAGCTTCTGACTAACCACTTGCATATTAGAGTTTTAAATTATACTGCACTTGCCATTGCAATATCGATACTCAATCCTCACTTAACCTCCAGTCAATGACAATTATCAACCGATTTTAGTGATCAGCCCCTCACTACCCCTCCCTGAACCCTTGACCCCTTTGCCAACCCCCCTTTTCCGCTTTCCCACTCCTCAACTAAGTTGAAACGTTTTGAAAAATCTGCATAAATTAGTTGGGTAAATAGTTTTGCAGTTGATGACGCGCCGCAACAATTTGAAATAAATTAAGTTGAGTTGTGGGGAGAGGGGAGAGGCATTGGGGGGCCTATAGCCCCGATCAAGTGACGCTAATGGCCACAACAAACAAACCAAACGATGCAACTCGATGGTCGCCGATGAGAGTCGCTAGTTGCAGGGCCAAACTGCAGCGGCAGCAACAAATTGATAAATTCATAAATAATGAAAACGTTTAGCCAAAGAAAGTGTTGACGTGGGGGGTTTCGGGACTTTGGAGGGGGATGTGTAAGCAGCGACGCGTTCACAACTCCACTAACGTCAATTTTAATCGTCTATGATAGGCCAAGTACACTGCCGCAAAAGAGGTTGTTACTTAATAAAATCAAATTACTTTGATGAAAAGCAAAAGTTAGTTTTGAAACAATTTTGAAAGCAACCTAATATCAAAGTGGTTTAAAAGACAGTAGATCATTTTTGAATGACTTCGTGGATGGATATATTTATCTGAAAGACCTCTGTGATTTCTGTTTGTGCAGCGCACGATTGGCTAACTGTAGCGGACCATATCGCGATCCAAGACCGCCCCGATGTAGAGCGACACATGAAGTGAAGAGTTTTGCACTTGCGTTGGCGATTGTCACGATCGATGGCGACGCCGAAGACAACGTCCCTGCCGCCAGAAATAAATATTCAAATAAGAAATCAAGTTCGCTTCGGTTTGCCCCGCGACTTCCCCCCATTTCCCCCGATAGCTGGCTCTTCAGAAAGCAATACCAATAGCCGCCAACGATGGCCACTTGCATCCGCAATCGGCTGATGTTGCCGTTGTGCCGCTCATGTTGCCCGTGTTGCTCGTGTCGCTCGTGTTGCTCATGTTGCTGCTGGGACGGGACATTGTCGCCGCTGTCAGCGTTTGTCAAATGAATGCACCGCAGAAGCCAATGGACAGCGGCAACATGGGTGGGCACCGCCACATTGACTTCGACTTCGACTTGGACTCCGACTCCGACTCCGACTCAGACTCAAACTTGGACTCGGACTCTCGGCGTTGACAGTTGCGCTCCCCTGGCCAACAGACTCCCCCTCCGCGATATCGAACAGAAAAAAATAAAAATAAAAACAGACCGGATAAGGCGTTTTCTGCATTACTTTGTTCATTGGAATTTTCTGATGCCTCAGCGGTGGCGGTGGCAGCGGCAGAAGCAGCGGCTGCTGGTAGAAATTAGAAAAACGCCCATGAAATGGAATTCTTTTGCGGCCACGGGACGGCACACAGCATGTGGCATTTGGCCAACAGAAGAGCCAAGAGCAAAGAGCCAAGAGCCGAGCCGAGACAAGCCGGTGGCTTCCAATTTGAACGTTTTAACCGATTTGGCGCCTAATTTGGTGCAAAATTTGATTTCCGAGGCGGCATCGTTCGGCTTTTAGAAAGTAATTGTCGCGTGGGTGGTTCTTTCTCCGCTGCAACCGAATGTGGCTTGAATAAATGGTCATTTGATTGCCAAACCGGTTAGCGGTCACTGACAAAAAATATCAAAGAAAGCAATTACTTTAATAAAGCAGCAATATCATAATTTATTTGGTTTACATCAATCACAGGTTACAAAGTATTGTTACCATTTTTAAGCATATGCAGAAAAATCAATGAATTTTCAACCAACTCTATTTCCTATTTTTCAGATAGCTTCCCAGTGCACCAATTCCACATCTGGCGGTGAGTATTCCTTTCTGATTATTTCGCAAATAACTTACTCCGAATTCGACCAATAATATCAAAGTGTCTTGGTGTCTCCTTGGAGCGATCCCCCTAAGTGGGTCATGATTCTGGAGTTAGTTGGCCGCACTAACGATCCTGCGGGCTGGTTAAATCAAGTGCGTGCCCGCCATAAATCAAAATCGGAGCACAGGATCTGCTCGAGGGCCATGGAAGACCTGGCAGACCTGGCAGCCCTGGCATGTCCGACTACTAATAAGTAAAATGAAAAATGCGCCACGCCCCCGGGCCACTTAATTGTTGGCAAACAAAATGAATGCATAATTAGTTTGCTCCCCAAGATGGCCACGATGGCATGAGGTTAGTTATTTATGTCGGCCAGACCCGTTCCCCGGCCCTTTATGCATCTCATATGAATATCTCTGGCCGGAGCTCGGAGTTAAATGCATTTTTAATAATTTCATTAGGGCCACGTCGGGAATCGGTCGCCGGTCAACCGATATGCCATAATTTTAATGATCGCTTTATAGAGACATTGGCCATCGGATGGGGAGAGCGAGAACTCTAGACCCTAGATACTTTCCCATCCGATAAGAACGTGGAAAATTTATACGTTCGTTTGGCATTGTCAGTGCCGTTTACCGTTGGATCTATCTCACTAGGTTTTCCCCCCACTTTTGATGGCTTAATTGGAATTTATACTATCATCGCTTTGATCAATGTCTGGTGGATTCTTCTCCGAGTTGACCGATACGAATCTCTGGCGACCAGAACTTTGAAAGCATAAATTTTCCACTGCACACCAGCTTTTTTAAATAATTTTTGTTCACTAATTTATAATGCAGGATAAACCCATCAAGTATATTTTATTAATACTTGCAATTAGCAAGGTCCTAATGACCTGGCAACTTCTTGGCTCGCTGCTCCTGCGGCAGAACATGAAATGGGACCATCCTTAGCCGACCGACCACGGACACATCGTACCATCTATATTAGGTTGGGGAGGGTGGGGCGGACCTTATCGCTGGCATCGCATCTCTTAGAGATCCTTAACCGGCGATAAGCAAACTCTGGAAATCAATTTTGCTGCGTTGTTGTACTTAATTAAAAACGAAGCGGCCCGAAAGGAGGAGAAAAGTGGAGGACGGGCCAGGGAATTCCTTTGCATACAGTTTGTTACCTTTGTGGCCTTTCTGGCTGAAAACTTAATTTGCCAGCTGTCTGTGTGTGTGTGAGTGGATAGGGAGCTCAATTAGCAGCCGAGGGCACCTGTTGGATCCTCCTGGCCATCCCCACCTTTCTACCTGTGCGGTGTGCGGTGTGTGTTGCCGGGAATTCCTTAACTAATTTCCCTCTATTTCTCTATTCGAATGGCCGCCGCCTCTGATAAATCAAAATTCCTCTCAACGTTGTGTGCGGTCCAGCCAATCAATGAATTTCGTTTATCTGCCTTTGTTTCTCTTTTTTTATTTGGCTCGTTTCCCTTTGTGAAGGATTCCATTTGCGGCTATTAATCAAAACGTTCCATATGTTTTATTTTTTTCGTGACTTGTTTGGTGGCCGTATATCAAAACACTTACCTAAATCATAATTTCAATTGTTGCCAGGGCGATGGGAAAAACCATTGGGGAAAAACCAGGAAAATTATTGTTTTGGTAAAACTAATGAGTCGGCCACTTATATATTTTCTGGGAAAATCGAATTGAACCTGAGCCTGAATACAAGGACACTTAATAATTTATTTTTTGTGGTCCCCAAAAAATCAATACTTGATTTATTAATCACTGTTAGCTTTTGATTTAATTATAATCTAATGGATGTGAAAATTGTGATAAACATTTATTTTGTTTGAACTTTATCACCATACACTTGAATTTCAATAATGAATCAACCTACACGAATTATTTTGCATAATTTAAATCACTTTTCTTTTTTATGAGAACGTATTTTATATCGACCTCACCTTCACCTCAAACTGAAAAGGAATTCTAATGAGACCCATTTAGCGCACTTTCAGATCCTCGTTTCCAAGGTTGACACTGGGAAATTGCCACTAAATCACAACTGTACATGCAAAGTGCCCCGTAAGTATGCAACTCTTGTTGACTGCAACTCGGAAAATTACGGGTAAAATGTGCAGAAAATAAGGCGGAAAAGGTGGCAGAGATTTATGGGTCGGCCGGGTCCCATTAGCAAATAATTTCCCCATTCAGAGCCTAAGGCCAAGGCGAATTTAAATCAATTTTAAATTGCAGCCGAAATCGGGGGCGTGGCGAAACGGCTTTTCCGCCTCCAAATGGTCCGCAATAATTTGGCATGAAATGTTCACCCATAATTTATAGTCGACCGCAGCTTGTGTGCATGTTCGTCCTTTTGGCCAACTCTTACCTGAAGGGCACACGCACCCCGGCACACTTTCACCTTTCCCCGAGTTTTCCAGTTTTCCAGCCTTTCTCCCTTTCTCGGTTACCGCAATTTGCCGCCTTAATGCCGTTTTCCTCCGCCATTGTCTCTGGCTTTAATTTGTGCGACATTGTTGCAGGAGAAACAGCTGGTGCAAACAATACTCGTACAACATATTGTTTTTATCCTTGGCACGGGTCCAAAATAGCACGCTTTCCCAATTGATCTGCATTTTTGAGGGGCGTGGGCGGCGCTTTTAATTGCTGCAGCTGCTCCTCGAAATTTTTCTCGTTAAATCCAGTGATTCAACATGGGTGACTCACCCAAATCGATCGATAAACCCGTATTTCCAACTAAAATCATCAATGAACTATATTTACATATTTTAAACAGCCGAGCGAGAAGGAATGAGAAGAATCGAGCGAAGGGGAAAATGTTCTTTATCTCAAGGCGCCGTTTGAAGTTCATTTTAGACGCATTACCTGGCAATCGGCTGAGAAAATGTGGCTGGATACAGAGAAAAAATTGTCTTGGCCCAGAATAGATTTTCAGTAAGAAACAGGTTCTAGTTTCCTATCTAATAGGTGCATATTAAATAAATCAGATACATTATCGGGGATTAAGTGTACTTAGTTTTAAGAACATGTTACATAAGACACAAGTATTTTCATATGATGGTTGTCTTAAGATATAGTTTTTCTTTCAGTGTGGTCATCTTTGCGTTCAAAATCTTCTTCTTCTACGCCTTGCACTAACGGACGCCAAAAACATTTAGTCAACAACTGGCACTGGTTTTGTTTTTGGACCTGGATCCCCGACCTTATCGCAGGGACCTGGGAACCACTTGAAGCCTATGGGTAAATGGGTGGGGGATTGAGGAAGAATCAGAGGAGATGTTCAAGGTGCTCATCAAATAAATGTCTGGGTTGCCATATTCCTGGCACGGGCTATATATTCGTAATTCTCATGGTGATTTTCATTTAAATAAATGATTCGAAAAGCATTTCATACAGCTGATTGTTTAAGCTCACATAAAAGAGTTATTAAACTGCTTCCTTTTTTTTTTTTTTGAATTAAAAAAATTTAATTAGATTTATTTTCAATGAAACTTTCTATTAAAGGCTTATATAAATGCCAATTCAGCTTTTTAAAAATAGCCCGACAAGTATTATGAACATATCCATTTGTTCACTTGTTGAACCGCTGAAATCATCCACATTAAGCCGGAGTATTTACGGACTGAAGCACGCCCTTGGGAGAAGCATCTCGCGCTGCTGCCAAAACGCTTATTGATTTCCTGGCCCATTCAACTAATTGGATCCTTAGCGCTGACACGTTTCGGCCATTGACAAGTGCGCGCTTCAATTTGGCACGAAAATAAATGACTGGCAATTAGACAATTGCCGAATGCCAATACCGAATGCAATGGCACTTTCAATTTGTCTGTCAATCGCACGTGACTTTTGCCCGGCAGCATATTTCATATTTATGGAGCTGTCATTCGCTAAAGGGGAATTGCGAGTTTGCAACTCACAATCACGTGCTGCAGTTGCCGGTGTTTGGGTTTCGATTTCGGATTCGTTTGTTTGTGACAAAGGGATATGATTCCTTTTTTTTAGGTGACGCTGTGTGGCATTGGCATTATAGTTCCAAGTGTCATAATTCATATGAAATTTATGTCAGCCCTGTTTGTTTGTGTTGCCTTTTTCGTGAAAAGGTGTCCTGGCTTATTGACTGCGCCAGGATTAAGTGACATTTGTGAAATTGACATGTGGAAAACGGAATGAAGGTGAAAAGGTGAAAAGTGAAGACCATCCTTCTCCATCTGCTTTTCTGTTATTAGAACAGTAAAACTTTCCACTTTCCAAACTTGAAGTTATCAAAACTTCGTGTCCCAACTTTCACTATCTGGCAGATAACAATGAGGTGAATCAC